GGAAAGTTTTGTTGATCATTCCTCCAAAAGCTTAAAAAAATTGGTCTTCGACGCTAACGACATAAAGGACAGCATTCGACATGGAAGCTAGAAAAATGTCGAAATCCATAATTAATTAACATATTACCACAATGACGACGTTAAACTTTAAGCCTAACAATGCGCTGGTGATCATCGACATGATGTCATAGCTGACGATGACTACCAAGTGCTGACTTGGTGATGGCAGTCGTTTTCTGGCAGAATTAACGACTACAATGTCTTCAGGTTTGACGAACACCAGGTTGTTGCTGATTTCCTGCAAAAAATTGCGCTGTCAACCAACAACCGTATCAAAAACTGTGGAGATGAACCGACTTCGACCCATGTATACTTCAACGATGAGGGGCAGATGATCAACAGCGGCCATTCCTGCTTGTAGTAAGACACAGCACCAAGTGCCTCGAAGGTTTTGCCAAGGCCCATGTCATCAGCGATCAAAACGCGGCCATTTTTCTTGATCACAAACCTAAATTTTTAAAATGACAAACACAGAATAATAGAAACTTAACTAATAATAACAGCGAAACTATTTGCAAAAACGCTAATCAGAGGCCGTTAGATGAATCATGAAAGTGGCGGAAATATCAGTCGAACGAAATGAAAAAACGTTAGAATTTCGCAATATAAACAGGGAAAAAATATCGACATTCACTGAACATGCTTTTAGCAGCAAATTTTAAAAGATGCAGAAATCAATGATACAGTGTACCCAGCCGATAAAAATTCTGCTGAAACGGAAAGAAAAAAAAGCATTTAAATGTCAAGACCTCAATCCAAGGCTGTAATTCTGTAGACTCTAGATTCCACCGCACAAGGCCTGCATGCAACTTGCTGAGCCACGTGTAGTTACACAACACCTTGTTGTTAAAAGACGTTAAACACAGGATTGGTGCTGATTGTGGAACCTACCTCGGTTGGGAACAACAGGCGGATACAATGGTTGGCAAAGTTCGGTGATCAGTTTCAGTACTGTGAAGACTGCGGAAGTTGAGCCTTGGTTAAAAAGCGGTGAAAGACTTCACCAGATAGTGCATTCTGCCGCTCTTCTTCCCCTCTGCATCAGCTAATCTCAAAACTGACCAATGAAAACAACTGACTAGCATCCGGAACCTTTCGAATCTGCCTTGCCGACTCTGTAACCGTGGCTGACGAGTTTGCGTGCAGTTGCTTAATAAACACAGAAGTTACAATGGGTAATTCAAAACTAATCAATTCGCCAGTTATACTTATGTTCCCAAGAGTTTCCAAGCCGCTAAACATAAGATTCGTGTATATTCCTTTCAGATGGTGAAGTGAGGATGACCAAAAGTTGGTCGCTCTGTTCGCTGGCAAGTGCTTGATCAATGCAAAGAAAGAAGAGCAGTTATTATAGACCAGACCGACTGACAGGGCATATAGTACTTAGACTTTTGACAGAGGATAAAAGCTGTAACTATGAACAAATCTCGTTTTTGGAGTTGAGGAAAATAAAAGAAGATAATTATCCAATAAAATCAAAGCATAAAGTAAGTTTTCTGGAGTCTTCAGTCACGGTACGAAAATCCTTCTTAATGACATTTGCCTTTTCTAGGCATTGAATGGACACTGCCTTTAAAGAAACACAAATAATTAAAAAACTGCACATTCTATACTGTAATAAATGTCTTATGCTGTCTCTATCTTGTCATGACAGATAACAGTATCATGGTTCGGTGACAAATGTTTGCCTAGCCTCGTCCGATCAGGTGAAAGGTTTATCTAAAAAGGGCTTCGCGACTGTTTCAGAAGAGCATTAGAGCAATTCTTCGTGATACATCGTTTGCTTCCTAAAAATTGGGCACTGAACACGGGGAATCTCGTTCTGCTGTTCACCTCTCAGTAATGGTAGCACCTTTTCCACCCTGACGCAAACTGTTTCTAGTAATGATCTTGTAACTACCGTACGCCATTTGGCGCAGTTCAAGGACTCTCCCTCTTAATGAGAGTATACCGGTATTACCAACCAAAGAAACTGCTTGAACATACATAATAACGAGACATCAATCATCCAGTCCCATAGCAGCGCAAACGGCGGTAAAGGAAATGGACTGCGCATGGACTGGAGGTGCGCCTCTGTGAATTCGCAAACACTGTCAAAGCAACGACATGGGTCAAAGCCTAGCATTACGGTTCAGCGCAAATGAGCTACTGTACATCTTGACACAAGGTGACAACTCTCATTTTGCTACATCTCATAAATACGCACGTCACACAGAAAATATTAACTGATCCTACCTCAGAGCATCGACTTGAAACGGGAAGAGTCTCTCCAGAAAGGCTTTGTCAACGTGACTTAGTTCACGTTCGACTACGGCCTGTTCATCTGTGGCATTCTGGTACTTACTAACGTTTTGAATGATCTGCATTATGAACGAGGGAAATCGCTGGACCTTCAGAGGAGGATTGAGCGCCTCAAGTTTCGTCACTAGAAATATCGAGGCGTTACGATTACTTAAAATATCGAAGTCATTTAACACAAGCAAGTACCTAGATCATCGTAGAGACTAGTGGAAAATTTCCATGTTTTCCTCGCGGGTTCTAACAAATAAACTTCAAGTATAAACTTTATTTTAAAGTTTATAAACCTTACCATAAACAGACGCACTTCTTGGCGTGGACCTGAATACGTCTATGATATCCTGCCGAAACGGAGAAGAAACTTCGAACATATCACGAGAAACAAGGGAAAATTTGATAAGCGTTTTATCTATTGCCAGCAAGCCCTTTCGCCTGGCTTTGGTCACTCGCTTTTCAGAGCTGAAGG